AGGTCGACGGTATCGATAAGCTTGATGCAATGCTTGATCGTCTTCTGTTTTTCAAAGACTATTGCGAACAAGTTGTAGCTGCTGCAGGAACAAAAGATTTAGAACTTAGCAAAGATGAATGGAATGAAGTAAAAAATATCAGAGATGTTTTGGAGAAACCTAATATCACTACAGTTGCCCTTCAAGCTGCTGATCTTACTCCAGGTATGTTTATGAAGGAGTGGTGTAAACTTGAAAAATGTTTGGAAGAAAATGGAGAATATGTTGCGCTAGGAATTTTATCTTCTATGAGAAAGCGGAAAGAAAAGCTTTTACACAACACACATTTTCTTGCTGGAGTGTATGTTGATGCTAGATACAGAATCTTATTGAATAAATCAGACAAAATCAAAGCCAGAGAAGGTTTGGCTGATATTCAATTGCGATTAAAAAGAAAAAAAGTATTTGATTCAGCAAAAGAGTCAAAATCTGTTAATGTGTCCCAGCCAACATGTGATTTAAATTTTATCTCTGAAGATGATGATGATGATGATGATTTTCAAAATGAGCTAGATAGAAGAGAAAACACACGCAAAATTTCTATGAAATCACACATTGAAAAGGATTGTGAAATACAAAGGCATTTTGAAGAGGACTGTAAAGCTATTGAGGATGTTGGAAGAATAAAGGTGAATGTCTTCGAAGCCATTGCACATTATCCAGATCGAATCAGACAGTCAAGCAGAATAGCTGCAAGTATGCCAACATCACAAGCCAGCGTTGAAAGATTATTTTCAGCTTTGAAATTAATACTAAGTGATAACAGACAATCGATGAAAGAAGATTTGCTTTCCGCTATTTTGTTTATTAGAATGAATGATTGAATTATTGACTTAACTTGATTATCTTGTGTCTGTATGGTGTATCATTTTTATTTTTAGAACCTGTACTTTCTTAATTTTTTGTATATTTCATCAATTTAACTATACGTTACGGAAGTGGTACTAAAAATCAATCAATTGATTGATTAAAAAAATATTTGAAAAAATTTGTGTTAATTGATTCTAAAACACACTCCCGCCTCGGAGCACGGAGCGGAGCGGAGCAAACTTTTTTTATGCCGGAGCGGAGCTGGAGCGGAGCAATTCAAAAAAGTGCTTGCTCCAAAGCCCTGCTTTTAACAATGCTTGTGTAATACTTATAGCAACACTTTTGTAATACTTTTAAAATGCATCCATATTACTACCATCAATACTTACGCAATGCTTGTGGAAATATTCAGCATCTCTCGAGACGGCGATGAAGCGTGTGGCGATGCTACTTGAAAGAAGTGGCCGCCATTCCAAGTAGCTTAAACATGATTATTTCTCCTGTATTTTAATTTGGAGATTCGTGTGTCGTTAGTGAAAGCACTTCTTGCTACTTTCTTCTGGTGCTTCCACGCTGCTGTTCATGATTGATGCAGGATCCATCGACTCTCTGTCTTAAGTCATTTTTATTAGTAGAAAGCCAAAATGTTTTAATTGGAAAATTAGATCATTGTAATCACCGAGCTGAGTTTTTAACCTCTACAACCTGCCAAGTTTCAAAACAGCAAACCACCAACAACTTTGAAAACCGCAAAGCAAAATGTTACAATCCAATTAACAAATTCGGAACAAGCGAGCGAAGAAGCAAACGAACAAGCGAACCAGAGAGGCATGTTTCAAATGAGAAACATGAATTCGAGTGGCTGATGTTATCAGATCTGTTAACGACCACACGCGATGTATATTGCATGTGGTGCTCTAAAATTCAAATTATCTTTCCCCACTTTTTCCTCTTTTAATATCCTATTGTTTGTTTGTTTGTTTGTTTGTTTGTTTGTTTGTTTGTTTGTTTGTTTGTTTGTTTGTTTGTTTGTTTGTTTGTTTGTTTGTTTGTTTGTTTGTTTGTTTGTTTGTTTGTTTGTTTGTTTGTTTGTTTGCATTAGTTTCTAAAGTCTGTTGCAAATTATTTATTACAAAATATGATTTAATAACTTGTTTTAACGTGATGTAAAACGAATGCACTACCAAATCAAATTATTTTTTGTTCTTGTTTTGTTTCTCTCAGAGTGAAACTTGGGTGTATGAAGCATGCGAGGTAGAGGTATGCAGATGGAGAGAGTGATTAATACAAATTTGACGTTGAAGAGAAATAATATCCAGCAATAAACATCAACATTAACAACAGAAACAACAACAACAGCAGCAGCATCATTAACAACATCAAATGCAAAACCAACAAAATGATGATGATGACGATGAGGATGATGATGTCAATGTGATGATGACGATGATTTTAATGAAATGATGATGGATGGTGACAATGATGATGTTAACGACGTCAATATTGAGCTTGACTCAAAAAGTTGCGTATTGGTTTTTTTTAAACTTGCATAAGGTTATTTCCTTTCATTATAATGCTCGTAAATCAAGGTAGTTGATAAAATTTTCATCATAGCGCCTCTGTTTTTTATGGTGTTGATGTATGTCTGTTGTTGACGCTGTGATGGATGTTGTTGATGTTTTTGTCGTTGCTGTTGTTGTTGTTTATAAACTCCAATATAAGTTGTAGATGATGATGACAAGGGTGATGGTGATGATGATGGTGATGATGATGACGATGGTGATGATGACGATGGTTATGATGATGGTGATGATGATAATAATTATGACGATGATGGTAGTGATGATAACAATGATGTTGGTGACGATGATGATGGTGATGATGACGATTGGGAGGAGGACTCTGAGAAATTAGCATTGCACATATTTGAAATGTTAAAGAGAAGCCACGTAAGCTTGAAACAAATTCTAAATCACTCTAAAATAATATAGAAATAATAAGGTTATAATTATAATAAATTAATAATAAAAAAATAATAATAATGCAATATTATTTATATTTTTAATGCTTTTTAACATCTGAAATACAAACAAACAAAACGATGGTAAAACTTTTGAAAGCAGAGGTCTTCTGATGTTACTTCACGCCTCAGATAGTGACATTTTTATTTTTTGCTCAAGTTTCTAAGCAATTTTTTCATTATTTTTTGCCACCTTTTTTGTAATGTTTCTCCAACATCTCAGAAGACGACTGATGTAGTATTAGTATCAACGATCAAATTTTCAAACTACTTGAAAGTCTGCACGGTGATGTATGCGTGCCTCAGTCCGTGCCTGAATGTGTGTGTTTGTATATGTGTGTATTTATTTGTGTGTCTGTGTGAGTTTGTGTGGAAAGTATTCTTGTTTGTTAGTTGCGTTTATTTTGTGTGGTTATGAACATGTTCAAATGTGTCAATGTGTATTTGCAAATTAGATCACTCACTTCTGCTTCATAGTTTATATATTGAGTGACGTCACCCTCAAACTTCTAGTTTGTTTGTTCTGCAGTACGTTTGCTTGTTCCTTTGCACCCACGCTCGCATTTCACGACAGCAATCAACATCAGCAGCGTCAGCATCGTGAATTGCAGAAGCACGTTGCACGCACTTCCTGCTCGTCCTTCGCAAACAACATCAATTCAAACCTCACGCTGGCTCTTCTTGCTCCTGAAAACAAACAGACAGACAAACAAACAAACAGACGAACCGACAGACAGACAGACAGACAAACAAACAAATAAACAAACAAACAAACAAATAGAGAGGGGCAATCAAAAAAAAAACAGGCAGACAGACAGACTAGTACGCAAACATACAGGCAAACAAATTGGAAAACATGAATAGAAATAAAAAAAAATTGCAAATGCACTCACAGTAATAGATGAGATTTCAAAATATCTACCTAGTATTCCATTGTTTATGTCCATTGTCATTCCGACTCACGTCCACGTGTTTGCATGCAGGCACATTCTTCAATGTACTTTCAAATATGAAATATTTATTTCAAAGAAATTAAGTTATTCATACAAACTCAAAAAAGATTGAATTGTCATTATATATATATATTTATTTATTTATATATTATAAATATATTTATATATTATTATCTACACATTCCTTTTAAGATTAAAAATTTAATAAATAATATTTATGCCGATTATTCAATCTCCACTGATTGTTTAAAGCTAACACTTTTGTGTGTGTGTGTGTGGTGTGTGTGTGTGTATGTGTGTGTGTGTGTGTGTGTGTGTTGAGTGTGTGTGTGGTGTAAGACACTATGGAGGAGACTATATACATATATATTATGAAATACAGTATTTCTTTATCAATTTTTTGTCCTAAATTTGCTTGTTTCTTTTTCGGTTCGCCTCACGGAGATTCTTTAAGAGTTGTCCTGTCACCCACCTTTATCACAAACACATCATTCTCATTATTTTCATCATTTGTTGGAGCATTTTTTTAAATTATTAACCCGTCACAATCATCGCTCTACATTTTAACCACTACTGTTTTTTATATAATTAACACGCTTATATGAAATAATAACTTTCAAAAGATTCGTCTTCTTTGTCATGCATTTTCATCAGCGCCATTTTTTTAAATGTAACAATTCTCATCTACGTCATCACAATTATCTACGTCATTTTAATCATTTACGCTACACTCAAATTTCCATTCACCTTTAACGTTTGTATCATTCACATCATCTTCACCATCATCATCGTGATCATCATTTCATCATCACTACACTTATCATCATCATCGACATCTTTATTATTCATCAATAATTTCGTTATTAGCGACTAACTCGTCTACATCATCTTCGTCGTTATCCTGGTCATTTTCACTATTTACACCATCTTCGTCTTCTTCTTTGTTTTCCTCTTCCTTGTCCTCACGATCACCCTTCATCATGTTTTCATCCTCATCATCCTCATCATCATTTTTTTCATTCTCAACATCTTCATCATTTATCATACCAAGCGCAGTTGTTTGTACTGGCTTGGGACGTACAATGATGATAAATTTTTCAAGTGAATTCGCCCCTTTGTCTCTTATTTATTTTCATTGCTTTAAAAAAATGAGTAACTAGCTAAAAATTTTATTTGTTTCTCAAAAGAAAACTTCAAAAGAAGCAAGTTGTAAATAAAATAAAATCTTTTTCCCTTCTTTTTATTATTTTATATACTTGTCTCTCCGTCAGATTGTCCTTTGATGTTCTGTTTTACAATTTTTGAGCACCTCGGATGCACCTAGCCAGCCGAACTTTTTAGGGCAGGTGTATCTTGGGATGAGCTATCCTTCAAGTGTATCCTATTCGATGGACGTTTATTAAATTAAATTAATTTTATTTATTTATTTACATTTAAAGGAAGCAAAAAAAAGGTAAAAAGATACTTGTAATAATGCTACCTAATTAGGCGTGTGCATGAAATTACAAAAGATTACAGCAAGAGATGATATGGAATTAAATAACGTAAGAATGTCAATTTAGCGACTACAAATTAAAATAAGGACGCATTAATTGCCAATACACATTACACGTCACCAGACTATAAGAGACGATACAGTATCAAATAGCATAACAATGAAAATCAAGTGAAACACAAATTATAATCTTCTGTTATAATCTTCGATCTTCTATTGTTGGTCAATTTGGTCACTGATCAAACAATAATTTTCTATAGTACCTATAACTGATAGACACTCATGTTCACACACACCAACCCACACACGCACTCACACAATCACACACACTCACACATCACCCTCACGCACTCGCATAATCGCACACAAAGCAGAATCACGTCTGCTAGAGTCATAAGAAAATGTGGGGATCGATTGAATCTTAAGCGCAAACGCTGTACAAATAGTAAATTAAGTTAAGAAAAAGAATGTTGGGCTTCGAAAAGAACGGTTTAGTACGGGAGTAAGGTTTTAAATTTAAGGATTAATCGAACAGAGCGTTTTTGG